AAGATATACTCATTAATCAAAAAATAATAATATAAGACGAGGCTGAGGAGAGCCTGTTATCCCCCGGGGGGATAGGTACGTGCCGCCAGCGTTCTAAATCCCTGACCCTGTTCAAGACACTAAAAAGTAAAAATCCATACCCTGTTCAAGACAAATCGGAAAAATAAGGAATAGCTATCTACGCCGCAACCATCAAAACTGCAAATATATTGACATCCATCAAAGACAATAAGAAGTTTTTGATAACACGTGAATTCTGGGACAGTGAAACGGTATTTCTACTATTTCTACGATGTTATGAAAATATTACCCTGTCCAAGACACACAAAAAAATTATATCGGTCTCTTTTATCTAAATTGTAGCGCCTGTTTAAGACAATTTCGGGTGAAAGGTATACCCTGTTTAAGACAGCAAGGCCAAAAACCATACCCTGGCCAGCGGCACGTGCCCGTATAGCACGGGCTGTTATCCCCAAAAAGGTTGTGTACGGAGATAATATGTACTCCATCACTAGGGATAACCGACTTAAGATATTTTGGGCCAGTGACTATCGACCTTTTCTGAAACATAGTGCATTGTGGTGTAGCTTCAGCACAAACATCACCGTAATTGGCAGCACAAACAATAGATGTTTGTCCTGAACCTAGGCCACAATGAAATACAAACTGATATCTTAGAAGAACTCTATGCAGAAAGGGATTGTAGATGTGCATTCGGTGAAATAAAAAATACATTAAGGTTATCCATCGTTTCTCCGCAGAATCTTCTGAAATTCTTTCTACATAATTCGACGATTTATGGCAACTTTTTACGGAGAAAATTGGAATATACTAAAACACTTAGATCACATGAGTAGAAAGGTCAATTCTTGAATGATCTTGAATTTGGCTTATTTTATCACTTTCTTTCATCCGGTTGGATGTAGTTCTGAGAAGAACTGTTCAATATGACATCAAAGTCTCATCAAACAGTTCTTCTCAGAGCTACATCCACCTGGATGATTATAATGTACATGTTACTTCGATAAACATTCACTCATCTGGGTTCAGACCTTTCCACATTACTTTCTTTCAACTTGCATCCAACATCCTCCATATGAACATTTCTGTTGATCAGTTCTTAGTTATTAGCAAACATATACCCCAAGACGTTTGTTGCATTGCCTGGAATATCTATTTAAATATACTCTTTATCTTATTAGATACTTTATGAATCTCGGCTCGCTATATATTTGTGTATAGGTACATATCTCAAGTCACAACCTTTTGCAATTGACTGTATACACACTGTATATAGGTAATTTAGAAAACGTCGAATGACTGGACATGTGTATTCCAAGGCCGAAATGCATTGTTGGTTGTTCTATTGCCNCTTTGGAAACTACGTACAACATCAAAACTCCTTGCTATCAGGAACACCACTGAAAAAATCCAAAGTTAGTTCTGTGTATGACTGTCTCAGTGCTTGCTCTTCCAACGCACCATGTGTTTCTATCAATGTGAACACAACAAGAGTTGGCGAAGGTCTGTTTGAATGTGTGCTGTTGGATTTTGACAAGTACCAAAATGAAGGAAACTTTTCCGCAGTTAAGGGAGTTGACCATTATACATTACCGGTGAGTATAGAATTGGATGAATTTTTAAAATAATAATTAATAAATGTACAAGCAAAACTATTATTGCACTAAATAGATGTGTTTTTTTTAATATATATTTTGTCACTAGCTAGTGCAAGCCAGTCATTTCTGTAAAATTGCTAGCCATAGATTCTTCATAGATTTTTTTAAATCTGTTTGCTAAAGTTCCTCGTAACATAAGGCTTCCACTAAATGTTTCCAGTTCTTTTTGTTGGCTGCTGCAGCCCTTGCCTCGCCCCGTAACCCATCCTGCGTCTTTCTTCTCCCTCTCCACAATCCTACGCCACGCTTTTCATCACTATTTCCATCTGGGATTCCATGCTCTCGCAATTTTTATTAGGAACAGGCTTGCTTGCGGTAGATGTAATCGAATGTCTTTTCAAATTCTATGAGCTGAGTAAATGTTGATAGCTTGCCGGAAGTTGCCTTGCTCAATAATGTTAATTTTCTCAGTATGAACATCTGTTCTGTTGCCCGTTCTTCCTGTAGTATTGTACTTGCTAGTTTTTAAGCATGTTATTCTCTCCATTTCGAATGTGATACTTCTGAGTATCCTGTCCTTTGAAAGTCTAGTTATTCTTCTCCAGTTCTTCGTATTCTTTTCGAATTGCGAACATATTCCGCTTCCTTGCGGCAAGCAGGTGTTTTCATAGAGAAGTGAATGAACTGAAATCCTCTATTACAAGTTTATGTTATATGGAATTTTTGAGTATATTCAGTAATACTTTAAAAATCTCAATTAATGGGAACACGAGGAATAGATTCAAAAACAATCTAATTTTCATTTCTTAATTTACACTGATAGATCCGGGAATATAGTTTAGGTTTTTTTAGGCGATAGACATTTATGACAAACTAATTTCTTTTTCCATTATATAGTCAAAGTGTGATGAAAAACCCTGCAAATATAATGGCAAGTGCATTCCGGTATTTGTCACCATGGAAACCTACCAGTGCAAATGCGTTCCAGGAAAATCGGGGAAAAACTGTGAAATAGAAGGTAATGATGAATAGTGAGGTCAGCAGTCTTTGATCATGAGAGCTTGCTGTTTCTCACAATGAATAGTCGGGTCTCAATGGGATTATTTTTTAATTATCACACGTAAAAAAAAGACAACTCCAACTGCGATAATTTATGCCAAACTTATCTGTGGATTATTTTCCGCCCTAAACCAGTTGTCGAAACCTTAGCGCTGTATGATATGTCCATATGTCTTGTGTTTCATAATTAAAAGAAATTATTGTCAAAACACTCCAATTTTAAGCGTGTTAATCCTCGCTTCTCCACAAATACTTTTTTGACAGATTTCAGCAGCTGTGCTCAGCGATATGCCGCTGGCCAGAAGGACAGTGATGTCTATGAAATCAAGTCTCCTGACAGTACAAGACTTAAAGTGTACTGTAACTATGACAACTCAACAGGTGAGATCGCATGACATCATATTTGTAGAGGTATAAGGTGAATCGATTATTGAAGTAGAATATCAGGGAAAAAACATGAAATACCACTATATTCATAGGTTGGACAATGGTATTTAAGTCTGTCAGTGGAGTTGCGCAATCGCCGGGGCCATCCGAGCTGTGGAATTCAACTTCCTTGCTTGAAATACCATCAGCTTTGTCCTTCCTGAACGGCCGAGCTCATTATAAAAACCGACTAGTGGAGCAGTGGGAAGCTTTCAAACCAAACAAGGTTGGTTGTGACTAATTATTCATTCATGAGTGTGTTAGTTTTCTCTCTTTCTGATGGGCACTATTTTCTTCACGTGGCTGATGTGGGATTTGATTGTTATAGATTCGACTGTCCATATACAAGAATTCAAAAGAAGTTGTGAAAGTGGTTTTCAACGGCACAGAATCAAACAAAACGAACTGGTTTAACGATAGTCGTGTGCTTTCAAGTCCATGGACAGATCTAATTTTGTCTTCAGTACCGAAAAACGTCTTCTCTATTCCCGGTGACAGACCTAGTTATATCCGCAGTTTCATGATGAATAGTGGCTACGGTGGTTGCGAGAACGACAATGGATGGATAGTGATGGTTGAAAAGAAAGGAGGTTGTGACTGGGAGAATTTGGCTGAATTTGCGATGGTCTACTCTCTCTTATCTACACGTGCAACTTACCATGTAACAGGTCAGAAATTGANACTCGAAGATAAAATCCGTATTTCCGCGCGCCCATGTAATATCCTCTATGTAATTAGAGCGTACTACGTAAATAACTAGTCAAACTGGTTATTAGAATGAAGCCTTAAACCCGTGAAACAATACTTAACTATTAATGTGTACCCCTGGGAATGGGGCACTGAAATGGAATTCTGACAAGCAACAGATTTTTTTGTCTATTTGCTTTTTGCTGTACAATTTTAAAGAGTTTAGATTCTTAACCAATTGAAAACGTCTTTTTTGGGGGAAAGTTTTAGTTTCCTGAAAATATGTTATTTCTAAGAATATTATGATCTTGCTGGCAACCACTTGTTACTTTGATTTGGTCTTATATTTTATAATATATTTTTCTCCAAGGAACCTGTTAGACCTTCCCACACAGTGTATTCTGTTAGAGATTGCCTTTTAAGGACTTAAATGTACTGAGATGTAACATGCTGTTCTTGTTCCCATTCTACATTATTTCAATCAGTAGGAGAGTGTTCGACCCTCCCACCCAGTATATTCTGTTAGAAATTGCCTTACGTACTGAGATACAATTCACGGTTAATTATATCAGTATATATTACATACTGCGCTAGTTACTATTCTACATTATTCTATCAATAATCCAGTTTCGAATTTGTGCAWGCTTAGATTCAATCAAGCATAAATTTGTGTTGTCTTCTTTGTACACAAAGTGTTTGCATTGCAAAAGGATCTCTGCTGAATAAGACAATATATTACATGCTTTTGAGGTTGAGGCTGCGCAAATAAGATCTCCAAACTGGAGTATTTGAGAGTGTGAGACCTCTCTGATGGTAATGATGATTTTTAATCAAATTGTAAAACAATTTATAAAGTATCCAAAACTGTTAATTGTAACTTAATTCAAGCAATTCTAATTTACAAGGCTTATATGGTATTTGCATATCAATTGCTATTAGTTTAAAAAAAACTATATTGTATTAGCCTTATATGGGTGTTAGCATATWAAAAYTTTAAATAWTCCTAGAAAAATGTAAGTTGTTAATAAATCAATAAAAGATAATGATGATTAWACATTTATATTTGGATAACCCWTTTTAACCTTCACATGGCTTGAGMAACTCGTCAGGGCAGGTTAAMATTATTTGTTTTTTATAAGAACTATTTGTTTCAAGTTTTTTTATTGATTCTGGTAAGTTATTATTATAATGTTTTATTTGCACTTTTTTAAGATGAATGGTTGACCCAATGGTCCTTTTAAATCTCARTCTTTTCTCTGCGTCGGCTTCTGTTTATGTTGAAATGTGAACTGACCCTACACTGAAAAGCATTGCGAATGTATGTACTGCGGTAAAACCACAACACAATGTCCCAACAAGATGTTATGCGCTATAATCACGCCACTGTGTTTTCGAGGAAGCTTAACTGAAGAACACCACAATATATGTGTAGCTTATTCGTGCTAATTGAAGGCTCGAAAAAGAATTTTACGAAAAACCGCTCATATATTTAATTATGTAGCAAAACGCGAAAATTAACGCCGTCGGAATGAGTCTGTTCTGAATTCGCGARATTAAGCGCTTACAAAAATTAGCTTGAATGACAGCTGTCAGTTTGAATAGGTTAAAAATTGGAATATTAACTAAATGTATTTTAAGACCCTTAAACACTTCTTTTGTGCAGCGGAAGACTATGCCAGGATCATAGGATACAAAAACATCATCGACTTAATACGGAACGCTCCCACAGTAGCTACGTGGGACGCAGGTACGTGATATATTTTCCGTAAAGAAACTCAAAAGTGAGCATCTGGTATCGCCAAATCAATATTTTCTTTCTTATTGTGGAAATTAGAGTTTTTTTCGTTTGTTGTTGTTGTTGTTGTTTTGCCATTGTATTTTAGTTGTGTTGTTGTTGTTGGGCATTTTGTGCATGCTTGAGGTGCAATATTTTGTATTCACCGTCACCGCCTGGGAATTTTTGGACGAAAAAAAGTGAAAGTGCCAATAACATCGCAGCATCGAACCTGTATGACTCAAACTATTTTCTTCCTGTTCTCAAACTATTTTCTTCCTGTTCTGTTAGGTGAAGGCAATGAYGATGATGATGAYGAAAAAGAAGAAGCTGAAATACCAAATGTGAGTTCGAAAACACGGAAATTCATTGTGCTGTGCTGTGCTTTGCTGTGCTGTGCTGTGCTGTGCTGTGCTGTGCTGTGCTGTGCTGTGCTTTCACTTTGCCCAAAATTGCACTATGAAAACGGTTTTTTTTAATATCAACTAGTTTTCGAGTAAAAATAAATAGTAAATCAAATTAAATGCTTTTTGGAAGTGGTTGTCTCTATTTAAGTGATTACTTAAAATAAATAAAAAAGTGACTGCATTTTTTTATTACAGGGGGAATTAGTGTCCGTGTTTAAGCTTCATGRGGATTCTGACGATGAATTGATACCTTCTTCCAAGTGCAGCACATCACCTGTAAGACTTGACGACTTTTAATTCAATTCAATTCAATTTTTATTTTACACACATATATACTTATTTTACAAGGAATATTGTTCATCTATTAAAGATAATTATGGGGAATTACATGTTTGCTATTGGGGAAAGTGTGCAGTGGCTAAAGGAGCTTAGCTTTCGAGTTAGCCACTGCCTATTTAAGACCTTAAGAAGTAAAATGTTGAAAAACAACTGAACATTTTTGCAACTTTTGGCTGCGAAAGCATAAACTTTACCATGGTGTTGAATATCCGTTGAAAATCAAGGCATTAGAAGAATCTCACATGTCGATCAATTTCCATTCCCTTATTTCTGCGACAACCTTTCTTTGAATTAATCTGTATTCTTTAGACACATACAAGTCCTGTGAATGGAGAACGGTCATCGCTAGCTCAGGTAATAGCATATATTATAGTTCGATTCAGACCCAACTAGACGCTCGAGGAGCGCGTACACGGAGTTCCTTGTGACTGCATCACAACGATGCATTSACGTCTGTGCTCGGTATGAATTCAACCCCAGACCCTCTCGTCACATTGCAAGCCATTTTGTTTGATTGGATTGTCAATTTGACAACGAAGATTGGTAATATTTTTAAACTCTTAAAGGCTGTAAAAATTGTTTAGGCGACCTCATGTCATAAAATTTAAAAAAATAGTTTTTCTCCTTTAAAACAAACAAGCAAATCCAATTATTGGCAGTATTCTAATGTTTTTATCTCAACAGGATTCGTTTTCTTCAAAAGATTCTTCATTCATGATGCAAAGAGATTTATCAAACGAYATCAAGGTAGGTAGACTCCTCGAAGCCGTCTCCGGTGTCGTCTCGTTAACCCTCCCCCRCAAACCGCTACAAGCTAGAAGGATAGTTAAGTATTGGATACTCCTTATCAACACTCACTATAGTTGTTGAATTTATTCATTCATGCTATTGTATTAAGCTATATCTTGAATCAACAATGTTCACACCTTGATAGATCTTTCAGAAATAGTGCAAAAACATGTCGATTGTGGTCTACAATTTTTTGCAAAGTTATGTGCTACACTGCCTAAGATTCTGTTACTTTAATCTCCCCTCTCTTTTTACGATGTTGTTTGTCGACGAATTGTTGCGAAATAGCCAAGGATACTAAGTAAACGAACTTGCAGTGGGGAAACGAGTGACATTTATTTTGAAGAATGTTGTAGCTTTTCTGTTACCCTTCACGAGTTTGCAAGGTTTCTTGTGATTGGCGAATAAAACAATGCTCATTGTTACTTCATTCTTAAGTCCTATTGTTTTCTTTTATTCACAAAAAGCTAGTAAACCAATCGGATAAGATTTGCAGAACGTGAAGTGCTACACTGCTTTTTAGTACAAAAAACAACATGCTTTGCCCCATAAAAAGATGTACGGGCTGAATGTAGACCGTGATGCAATGCGTAACGCTGTTTCAAAAAATGCCTATGTCACACAATCATCTTGTCACACAATAGAGTATAGCATTATTTTCACCATGTTGGCATAGGTGTATTCATTGTTCTTTTATTAGGAGCTCGAAGAGGAAAATGAGATGCTGAATCAAGAACTTTCCAAATTAAGAATTCAACACCAAAAAACAATAGAAAGAGTAAGTAAAATCTTGAACGAGGTGAAAGCATGACATGGGTTTTTCAGTACCAGGTTTTTGGGCGTTTACCTACCAAGATTATCATTCCCTTRCGCCTTACTGAAGTACGAAGAAATTAAGGTTTAAATTGTTCATTAGTTACGCATTGCTGAAGAAGAGTTGAGCGGACTTAAGAAGAATCCTGTGTCGTCAAATGTAATTCACGTTAACGTAAGTAATTAATACATACCAGAGCCTGGAGGTCTAGTACCAAGGCTAGCATAATATAGTCGACTTCACGGTTCCCTGCGCCATCTTGAAAGGTAGCCGTGCCTTTGCTTCGGATGGAAACGACCGTAGAGCGTGGAATTTTAGAAACTTTTGTTCAAACCCACATGTATATCTATCATTACACGTTCAATGGCCTTCTCCCTTCGATGTAAAGCCATAGCTACCTTTAAAGAAGGCCCAGGGAACCGTGACGACAGTAGATTAAGTACTTCAAACTGATAAAACCGACRGTCAAAATTCAATCAGSCACAAAACAATTTGTTAAGAGTAAGATAAATTAATATGGTAGACATTGAAGAATTAGAAAAGGCACCCASCTATCTTCGTAACAAGACAAGTTTGKTTACATTGTCCCCTGACCTCCCCATAATTCTCTGCGATTCAAGATGAYCAATYGTATCACAARAATATCACAAAAAATATCAGTTTCWRGTATTTCTTTTTCAYCCGTTTTTCTAAAACAATTTCTCTTGTGCCGATCGTGTTTATCAACGCCATCACAGGAAATAAGCTTTTTTAAGTTGTGTGAATTTGGTCCAAGTGGTCGGTTCAAGAACCTACTCAAAAAACTTCTTCAAACTTGTAACAATTAGGTATTCTTCACGGGTTGTTAACTTCACTATGCGTATGTTCAGTATTGATATGACAGTCTATTTGGCTTGTCATGTTTGAGTATGCTTTGCCGGACTTCATGTCAACATTTCAAGTTTCAGTAATTACGGAAGCGACCTGCGTGTCGTCTGGTTTTCTGCTTCTATAGTAAACTTTGCTCTTAATGTTTTTGGTATCTGCCTAAACCAGGGATTAATAGAAAACGATGATGATATGGAGATAAAAGACAGACGAATTGAGGAATTACAAAATCAAGTGAGTAAAATAGTGAACCGTTGTAAGCTGCGAACTTGTTGTTAWGCATAGTGATGTATCAATTTTTTTGGAACGACCATCTATTGTCGCATTGCTAACCCGTTATAACACTTTAGTTTTCGTTCAGTACGTAGACCTTATTAGACAAAAGTCAATTTCGTATGAGTGGGAAACGTACGGTAGAAATTACCGCACAGTACTGGCCTGGCACAATTTTTGCGAACCAATGAGACACTAGAATTTGGTTACAGTACGATAACGGTTACAGTACAGTACTGTCCGTTTCCCACTCATACGAAATTGACTCTAACGTATTGATGTAGCTGACCTTCTTTAGTGTTGCGTCTCGTGTGGAATAATAACACAGCACGTTGGAATAGTCTTAGAATAGGATCAAATTTATATACAAACGCAAAAGAACGGAACATTGATACAGAAAAACAGAGATCACGTGATTATATTTCTCCGTTTGTGCCGCAATGCACTTTTAAGCAACGTTACACCAATCCGTGTATCTTCAAAACCGCTTTTTTTATTTTATACGTTTAAGCCTATCTTTTACACAAGTTCAACAAAATCTATGACGTTTTTTCGTGYGCAGGAAACTATGTTTATTTTCGCGTAAACGTACGTAATAAATGATTTAAAAATATTAATATACCRCGTAAACGCAGCCTTGGTCTTGACGCTCATTGACTTCACTCGTTTAGGTGTCAAAACTTCAAGCAGAACTCATCAATGAGACCAAAGCAAAGCAAACTGTCGAGGTAAATTCAAGTGTGCTATTGTACGTAAGAAAGTGCGGTTTTGTTCGCTACGTGCACATTTTATAGCATTATACTTATAATTATTGAAAGGTCAATCCCTTATCTTTGCGTTTCTTAATTGTAATAGAAAGAAGCAGAATCGCTGAGTATTCAACTTGCCTCYTATCAGGTATTAGACTTACATTAAAATGATTGTAAGAATATAAGCGCTATTAAAAAAACGTAATGAATCAGAGTGAATACTGTTATACTGCATAGCRTATTCCAAGGCCGAAATGCATTGTTGCTGTTGGATTCCACCTGATTCACAGAACAAAGGAAAATTGCTTTCCATCRAAAGTACAAAGCTGGCATAGTCACTATATAAGATTAAAATCGCCTTTTGGAGCGATAATGCAACGACCCGCAATGCCTTTCGTTGTTGGAATGCTATACCTTCAGCACTCAATGTTGTTTTATAAAGATAACGAATTCTCAAGTATATTTTGTTTTAGCTGCAAAGCGATAAAGATGATATCAGTACAGATGAACAAGACGACTTAGACCTCCCCGGTGAGTGTGTTTGTGATAAATCGTCAGCTGATCTTTGTGTGTGTTCCCATTGATTGTTGCCATGTTCATACCTAAACACTTTGTAAACGGCACTGTGCCGGTACCCGAGTAAATTTTAACCCTTTATCCGGCCACTGAACCCGGTACTTTTTACTGCGTGGATGGCGTTTTGAGCGTGACGCCTTGAAGTACGATGCACATACACCAATTGTTAATGCAATAATCTTAGAAAGAATTTTGATCGTATTTGTTTTCAAGTTTGTTTGTATTATGTATCTATACTTATCGTCTCAAAACTATTTTTTCACTTTGAAATAAATAATTCAGTACCCGTCGTATGATAAAAGAACAAAATACATTTTCTTTAGGATTTGATGGGATTGATAGCTCGAAAACCAAASCGTCGAATAAAGGTAACAGATGATTTTATACAAAGAGAGATTCCGATCTTTAGGTTMTAACAGCAGAATTCATGATGGAAAGCTATGGTTTTATKTCCACTGAACCAATCCGCTGAMCTGAGTTTTGTTTTGTAAAGAAACTACACAGTTTATAGAATTCTGAAGCTTCAGAGGTTTATTCTTCTGAACGGGATTTTGAATTGCAACCATTATACCATAATTAATTATTCCTACTTGTGGGACAAAAGAATAACAACCAAATTACGGTTCCCTGCGCCATCTTGAAAGGTACCAGTGCGTTTACATCAAAGCAAGACGATCGTTGGACTTGAAATGATAGATACCTGTGAATAATTGTCTGTAGGTTGAAAGAAGGTTTTTATCATTGCAAACTCAACTTCATTTCGCTTTGATTTAAAGGCAGGGTTACATTTCAAGATGGCGCAGGGCATTGATGGGTAGAGCGGATTTCGTATGAGTGGGACACCGTTACCACACAGTTACCTGACCTGGCCTTCACAATTTTGGTGAGCCAATGGGACACTAGAATTTGGTTACAGTACGATTACGGTCACAGTACAGTACCGTCCGTTTCCCACTCATACGAAATCCGCTCTAATGTAACAAGCAATCCAAGCTAAGCATTTGACTAGCTGATTTAGCGATATCTATAATCCATTTAAATATGAGTTTTTGAAAGAAAAAAAATAAGTAGAAAACATTGTCTTATCTATAAGTGTAGAGGGGGAGATATCACGAAAAACGGCAAATTACGCCTAATTCAGAACTGAATAAATCACATCTCAAGTTAAGACAAATGTTTTTTACTTCAAAAATGTCATATTTATATGCATTATAGATATCGCTAAAGTCAGCTAGTCGAATACTTAGCTTGGGTTGCCTGTGGTAATGTCCATAGACGTTATCAAAATAGCAAAGTATTGTTCTTTCAATAGAAGACTTTACCGAGAATAAGTCAATAAGTGATGAAATCATTAAACTAAAACAAGAGAATCAAAGACTTACACAACAATTAAAGGTGAGTCATTTAAAAAATAATTTTCTAAAGAGAACAATAATTCGGAAACATGACCCAGAAAAAGAAACTAAGAGATTGAGACCAACTATTACAGAGTGTTGTGTCTGAAAACGTTTATCGTGAAGAACGACGATTATCGCGGAAGGGAGAATGCAGAACTAAAAGAAGCTGTGCCGGTTACGAGTAGAGTCTGTCGTACGACTTTTTACGCACTATACCTGTGCATTTAACTAATTTAGAAAAAAAACATGGTCCGTATTATTGAACAAACACCCCACCCCACCCCACCCTTCTCCTCCCATTTTTAAGGCAGCCTAAATGAGCAAAAACCATGGCTTCTTTCTGTCGTACAATCTCCTTTTTTGAAATAAGTGTACATTGCTTTGGTTTTCTGTTTTTACAGGAACACATCAGAAATGAATTAAACCATAATGAACTAGACGAGCCCAC